ATTCTCAACTATTCCATTACACTGAAAAAAGGATTAAGTGGATATCGCCAGAGTCAGGGTATTTTCTTTTCACTCCGGTGGGTGTCAACCTTGTGCGAGGTTTTGAGCAGTTTTGTGAACGAACCACTGTTTGTAATCGAAAATATCATGATATGCTTTGTTAATGTTTTTGATTGAAACGGTTACGAGATAATTTCAAAAAAGGATGTATCAATATGAGAATGACGGGTGTAAATTCAGCCAAACATGATATATGTGCAAATTCATTGAAGATGACCTTATTTGCGTAGATAGCAAACGTGAGATTACACGCGCAACTTTGTTGGTTTGATAGTAATACAAATTTAGTGTATAGGAGCATATTTGCTTCTGTAGCAAAACAGGAGTAAAACACGCGCAAATGTTTTTATTTGAAGCCTCAGAAAGATTTGTAAACTGATGCAATCAAATGAATTTACACCATGTTTGCCTGGATTTTGTGCTGAAAGCAAACCTAATACTTTGCAAAGAGAGCAAATCTCTATAAATGTACGTCAAGTTTGTTGATTTGCAGGGGTATCAAAAACGAAGCATAGGTGAACTAAATATCATATTTACTTCACAATTGCGCGCAAATACAACGGGAATAAATATCTGCGTTTGCATCATCATTACTTCCAATGCGAATTTAGGTCAAATCTGGAGTCCTAAATTTGCATCATATTTGCTTCATTTGCAAAGCCGTTTAATTCCAATTTTTCGTGCCGTGTAACCCTATGGCATACGTAGATCAGTAACCCCTCCTATGGAGGCTCTGCAGTTTTTTTATTTATTTTTCTTTCCACGACATTCTTCATCAAGTTCAGTCATTCATGGCAGTGTCCCTCTTATAACGCTTAAACACATCTTTGCGGCTATACACTGAAAAGACTTTCTTGGAAGACAAACAGCAATGAAAAAGTGGAATCCCAGATTATGAAAGCTCCTGCATACTCATTTCAAAACAGACCTCCCTTCTCCAGTAAAACACTCTTAAAGTTTGACCCCCAGATTTTGTATAAATGCCAATAAATTATTAAAATTAAAAGATACTCTTTCTAACGAAGAGCCCTAAACCAGGCTCTAGAGGAAACCATTTAGAGTTGCGCATTTGATGGCAGAGGGGGCGTCCTTGTATTTGCAGATGGGGATATCCGCTGGATGGAGTCGCGTTTTTCACGACTGGAATGACTATGAGGGGGTTGCATTTTCAACAGAGTCACTAGAATGGGGTCGCACATTTTCGGGATTTTAGGCGTGAGAAAAAAAATTAGGAAACGAAAAATGGGAAGACATGCGGTTAGAATATTGTTACCGAAAGTCACAAAGTTGATTAAGTTGGGATCGCGAAAATTACCTTTGCCTAAGTGAATAAGATGGGGATCTATTATTGGTCAGAGAATTGAATATAATGGAAAGGGTTCAGAGAGGCCAGCGGCACATACCAAGCAAAAATTGAAACAAGTAACCCCCTCCTCTCGCGCTTTTTACTTCTATTTATTCTGGACGAAATCTAAACCGAAAAGAAAAAAAAACTTTATTTCCCAGATGCAAGTGNACAAGTAGAGAATGAGGTGCATCACATTTGGAATAATTTACCTTGAATAGTATTATCTGACTCTACATAACTGCTGAAGAGCATTCTTGCTTGGCAAAAATAACAGTTACATTAAATAATTAATTATAGATAACTGTCTAAATGTTAACTTCAGAGTCCTTTTGTCACGTGACTGTAAAAATTGTATGAAATTTATCTAAAAATTACATCAATGTCAGCTTTTCAAGACATAATTTATGATCAGAGTTTAAAAAAACTTTATCATGTACTATCATTATTTTCACTATTATTAAGAACAATAATTATTATGACTATTTTACAGTATTACAGTTAGAAAAATACCTTTCTTTTCCTGAAGTTTCATAGTTTCGTGTCTCAATATTTTTTCTTTTTCATGACCAGTAGTGAAATATACAGCTGAGGGTGAAGTAACTAAGGGTGAAAGTGTACAGTGCAATGTTAGCATTCATGGTGTTTAACTTTTAACAGAGAGATGATAAAAATGGCAAACCAACTAGTGACCATCTGTAAATACTACAGTACTAAAATTTATCTTAAACAAAGCACTGTCAGTTTTTAAATGCATAATTTATGATCAAGGTTGAAAAAAAAACTTATTATATATACTATGTACCATAATATTTCACTTATTAGTCATTATTTATACTGTTTCAACATCCCCAGCCACTACCATCTTAACATTCCCTAATAGCAAAGTCCTGACAGAATGAGGGACAACTAGTTGCTAGTAAGCCACCAACAACTTTTAAAATAATTATTCCCTCATACCACTGGACAGAGTGAGGGAAAACTAAGTTCAGTTTTCTTACTTTTAAATGTAATCTTTTGCATAAAAACTGAGAGCATCTCAAGGTATTCTTTGTTTTGTTCTATCCTGAAAGCTAAGTAAATAGCATTATTCAATCACCTTCCATTCCTTGAAGTTTCAAACGTAGCTCTGCTAATTCTTCCTCAGGATCAGAGGCAGAAAATTCAGGGACAGGCCAGGTGCCTAAGCACAAAGGTACACAGACAGAGATTAGCATTCAGTGACTGCCATGGAAAAAGTCACCACAAGACATTCCAATGTGAACATCAAGACAGATGGATACTTAGGCTTTGTTTAAAACAGCAAAAATGTTTAGATGAAAAACTTGTGGGTTTGTTTGTGCTAAAACTTTAGAGTCTAAAATCCTATAAAGAAAAAATAGGAAACCTACAGTTGTAACAAATTAACCCGGCCCTTTGTTCTCAAATCTCATTTTATTGGTAAATTCAATCTTTTTACTTTCTGAAGAGCATTAATCTTGCCTGATAAAATTACAGTTTCATTTAATTGATTCTGACCAACTAGCTTTAGAGTCCTTTTTCACTCACTTTTCTCTTCCTTAAGTTTCAGAGTTTTCAGTTTTCCTTCCAGTTCTTTTCCATGACCAGCAATGGACAGTTTGGTGGAGAGTGAAGTACCTAAGGGAAAAGGTACACAGCAATTTATGGTGTTACTTTTAATAGAGAGATGATAACATGGCAGACCAACATGTGATTAACTGTAAAAAGTGTATGAAATGTATCTAAAATACATAAATGTCAGTTTTTTAATACATAATTTATGATCAAGCAAGTCTAGCTTTACACTTGGCATAATACCTGAAGGTACAAATATATTCACTTCAGATGTTAATTCAAACAAATTTTCCTGTGCACCTATCTTTCCTGTAGGTTCTTCTGGTTCTTTTCTTTTTCTAGTGGTGCTTATTACAGTGTGGGGTCGAGTACCTAAGGAGATTAGCATTCACAGCCTCTATTCAAATGTGTTGTTTCCTTTAAGTTGTACCGTTTACAATATCACTGATGCCACATTATTGCTTAATGACATTATTCTTCAAAGATTTCATGCAATTGTTGTCACCATTCACAACAACTTTTCATTGGGTAACTTGACATGTCTTTCAATTTTTTTTCACCTTTCATTTTCTCTGTCTCAACAATCTTTGTCTTCCGTTCCCATTTTTTCAGCTCTTCTTGTTTTTGTAAACTTTCACTAGTTGAACTTTTGGAGTGGAATTCAGAGGATATAATACCTAAAACCAAATTATAACAAGAACAAATAATGAAGCAATCATTGAATAATGACTTATTAAACAATGAAACATACCTCTAATCATTTTCATAATAACTTACATAAACCTTCTCTTTAGCTCCTCCAACAAAGATCTTGCCAATTAACATTTTTTACCTTACTTTAATTCATTTATAAACAGATCATAGACAAATAGAACCAGACAGAAAGGAAAATATAGGAAATGATGGCAGGTTAATAAATGGGGTCAGGATGCTTGAAAAGCACAAAAACATCAGAGGAATTGTCTTGAAAACAAATCACTTCTAGCATTAATTTTGTCATGGCTCACAATTAGTCAGTATGTCCGCTAACTCATATGACAGTTGGTTCTATCGCGATCAAAAATTGCACCCCTCTCCTCATGCGTGCTAACCACGTTGAAAGAGTGATGGATTGTGTCTGCAAACTTTTCAAAACATTTTCTCAAAGTACCTGGCTTTGNAGACAGAATATTAAGTAACAATATCACATGGATCTGAACTGTAACAAAAAATTAAAAAACTGAACCTACCATTTGCATTTTCCACCACTTTCTCAATCATTCCTTTGAATCTCTCACATTCTGCTCTCCAAGAGTACACCTTTCTGTAGTTCTCTCTAAGCCGTCTTGCTTTAGCTTCTCTTTCTTCTGCACTTTCTTCAGACATCTCTCTAATCCTTCGTGCCCATTCATCTGCATCTTCATCTAATTCAACAATAACAGTGTTCCCACCTTCAACTTCTCTCAGAGCCTCAGCTATGCCAGATTCACCAGAAACAAGTATAGGAATACCAGCAGAAATGGCTTCGAGCGCGACAAGCCCAAAGCCTTCGGTACGAGAGGGTAGAGCAACCAAGTCTGATTGATAGTACATCATCTTAAGTTCCTCTGGATCGTTGCAATATCCACGGATGGTTAAATGGCTGCGGTTGATGCAAGTGTTGTCAAGAAACCATTGCTCCACTTTTTGATGTTCACCAGGAGATGAGCCAACAAATATCAATTCAAATTTCTTACCAAGAGAACCTATGGCATTTGCGATAATATCGTATCCTTTAAGGGAAAGATCCTCAAAGGTAGCTCGGCCGAACACAAAGACGCTAAAGTTTTTTACTACTGATCTGTCTACTGCCAACTGTGATTCATTGGAAAACTTTCCAAAGATCCCAGGAGTAACCATCTCCACTTTAAGGAGATTTCTGCTGTACTTCTGTTGCAGACGGGAGCCAACGGCCACAACTGCATCCGCTACTTTACACAACTCAATTTCCATCTGGTGCTTCTTCTCGTTCTCTTCGATTGTATCTGTTGCAGCCGTAGTTGTTTTTTTGTATTTCCCAAGATCCTCACAGTAGACATGGACAAATTGTATCCATTTACACTTTGTATGCCGAACGAGGGAATACGCGGGATTACCCAGCTTTCTTCCGTGGCCTATCACCAGCTGTGGGTTTGGAAGCTCGGAGGGTGGATACTTCAAGCACTCAAGGGGGTCGGATGAACCAGGAACGCTTCCTGCTGTAATTAAATTGACACCATGTTGTTTGGCATCTTCTCTGTCCTGATCGTCGCTTTTTGAGACGTAGCAATGGATTTTCATGCGACCAATGGTTGTTTCTGCCAAATTAATAGCGAATTCGCGATTAAAAGTTGATAATCCACCCTTCGAAGACTTCCACTCGTCACAGAGAAACATGACATCAATAAGCCTCTGTTCTTCCTCCTCCTCTCTTCTAGCAGCAGAAAATGCAGTCGAAGACGCCATAGTCCAACGCAGAAACATGAGAGGACTGGGACGAGTTTATTATGTGGTTGGGTTTCAGGTGACGTCACAAGCTTTGCTGAAGTTAGTGTCCGCCATGTTGGTATCCCTCGGGTGTCAAATTTATCAATAATTAGTCGATTTCTATAGTGAAGCCCTCTCTCTTATCGCCATATTATTTCGCCAACTACATGAATATCCAGGAAGAAAAAAGCGATAAAAGTATCTGGCATTCATCTTAAGGTATCCCAGTGCTCTCTGAGTATGCCGAAAGCTTAGAGAGTTGGAAGGAAAGATGTTTGCAAAAGATCTCGGTCATTGGGGTTGACCCTGCAAGCATACCAGCCGAGAAGTTCAGTCCAAAATGCTTGCCTCCTGTGGAAGCGTCGGACTTGCTGAGTTACCTCGTTCTTGAGACCAGCTTCTACACCAAGAAGCAGTTCAAGGCGTTCAAGAGTCTAGAGGCGTTTAATCAAATGGTGTCGGGATTTGTAACCTCAGTTGTAGGCAAAGTAATCGCCGGCAAGTATGCCGTGAGAGCACGAGTTTGGCATTCACAGCATATGAATGATCCTTTAGTGAACATTTGGGTCATTTCCGAAAACGATGGGACTATTTTGTCAGCCCATTGCTTGGGATGCAAAGCTGGACTGGCTGAGTCATGCTCACATATCGCGAGTGTTTTATTTATATAA